GATTTTGACACATGTCATTGGTTCCCAATTGCGCGCAGATCGATGCTCATGCTGTTGCTCACTGGATTGTCTGGTTCAGACTCGATTATTTACAGACCGCCGCCATATGGCTGGAATATTGCTGAGGAAGTGCCGCGTAAAACCAACAAACAACAAACAACCAACCTGGAAATCATAAAAGCAGACTGCGTTTAGAACGAACACGTTTATAACGAACTGGATTATATAACGAACTGGATTATATAACGAGCTGCTATTTGGTCCCGATCATTTGCCGTGTACTGTGGTTGAAATGTGTATAACGAACTACGGTTATGTACATGGCTCGATTTAAGAGATGTTAACCTACTTGCACCAGGTGCAACCTAAGATAAAACCTAGTTGCGCCAGTCAAATTCCAGTTGCACTGTTTTATAGCAATATGTGTAATATCAGAAATATTCTATTGAATTATTTAGATGCTTTATTCAAGTTTACCCACTCAAATATTGACTTGCGCCTGGTGCAAAGTTAGACTAATAACTAGGTTACACTTTGTAATATCGGGTTGCACCAGTGCAAGTAACAAAGCACTAAATCGAGCTCTGTTATGGAGACTGAAATTAGTGATTCTTTTGAGCTCGTTTAAACCGTAGTTGGCTGTATTTGGTGTGTAATGTTTGCGTTATTTAAATACAGATCGTCTCTGGCGTAACTCGAACATCGAAGCTACTTCAACGAATTGAGACTTCATTCGAAGATGGCGTGGAAAGTGTGGACATCGCTCAGTGAGTACACAGTCACCTCAATTACTGCAACCACCCTCCGACAGATTCCACTCACTGAGTTCCGGGAGGTCAAAATTGTGGTTCGAATCCCATTTCGAATTCTGATTGTATGTTCTTGCTTTGTCATCTACATAACCGTGCTGGACGTTTAGCTAGCCTGAAGGTAAACCATTCGTCTGTGACACCTGGGTCGATTCCTTACATGTGAAACCATTCAGTCTCTCAATCATCTCTTTGTTAGTTTATTTAAAGTGAATGAGTCAGTATGGTTTTACTCCGCTTTTAGCAATATTCCAGCAATATCACGGCGGGGAACGCCAGAAATGGGCTTCATCCATGTGGGGAATCGAACCCGGGTGTTCGGCGTGACGAGCGAACACTTTAACCACTAGGCTACCCACCGTTTAAAAGAGCAGGTACAGAAAATGACCAAACTCTGTCGAACCTGTTTTTGGCTTGGGTACTCCGTCTACTGGACGTAGATTAAACAGACGATCGCGAACACCATAAACTAATGTTTGTGTAGGCACAGTCCACGGATATATATGACTAGATTTCGTCTCCATATCCGGAGTAGATATCAATAACCAGGATCATGAGCAGGTGGAATTTGGGATTCTGCAAAAGGTCAAAGCTTCCCTTCTCTCCAGACTTGCATCATCGTTACCAAATACCATGCCTTCTGTTTCAGTCTAGCGGAGCGATACACCCTCGACGCCTTTGCGAATGCAGCATTTGGCTACGACTGCGACAGTCTCAACAACGATCGGGGAAATTCTCTACAGATACATGTTGGTGTTCAACAGATCAGGTGCTGCTGAGAACCAGCTCACAGGCTTTGCACGTACGTGTTTGTAGAAATCTAAACTATTGCGTCAAACCACATGTATTTTTGAGGCCGCACTCCAGATTGAAATATATTGATTGGTACAGGCTGCAAAAGGGTCCGTTCTTCAAGGAGGCACCCGTGAACATCCGGGTTAGAATTGGTCTTCAGCAACCCACGATTGTCATAAGAGGCCACTAACGGGATCAGGCGGTTTACATCGATGTTTATGAATCACTGGATTGTCTGGTCAGAAATGAAGCTTCACAGGGGAATCGAGCCTGGAAATGCGCTTGGCGAGCAAACGCTGTAACAACATAGCCACCGCAACTCGGGCAGCTCCGGACATCTCCGGGGGTCAGGACCCCAAAAGCCATTCTCATGCTGGGAATTGAACTGAAGTCGTCGGCGTATAGCGAACACTTTGCCTACTAGGCTACCCCACTGCTCCGCTTAATGGCTGTTTGTTTGTTTATTGTTTTACGCCGCACTCAGCAATATTCAGCTGTATGGCGGCAATCTGTAAATAATCGATTCTCGACCAGACAATCTAGTGATCAACAGCATGAGCATCGATTTACGCAACTTTGGGGATTACGATGACTCGTGTCAACCTGTCAGCGAGCCACAGCCACCCGATCCCGTCGCCTCTTACGACAAGCATGGGTTACTGAAGATCAATTCTAACCAGGATCTTCACGGGTCCGTTTGTTCTAAGTTGATCGTACTGTCCTGTATTGATGATACTGTCAACGACCTGTCAACTTGGCCAAAATTCATACACAGCGCCTGGTTAAATCTGAAGGTATAGTTGATAGCGGTGTGACTCAACACTCGTATATGTATATATTATGGTCACGTTTGACTAATGTAACTGCGCATTCTCCTTACAGGGTTGTTCCCGTCACTCACGTGGTTTCTGCGGTTGTTTGACACAGAACATCGTCAGCTCCACGCACTGCATTTACCAGAGAATATGAAAAAACTCATTGAGAAAAGAAAAACAAAGGTATGATTTGCACTATGGTCTAGTTTTTTTTTATTTTACATTGTATTTGCACATTAAAGAAAACAGCTTTCAAGTTAAATTTGAATTAATGAAATAAGAAGCATAATTATGTCAAGGTTAAAAATACTAAATAATATTTATAATATTAATATAACAATTTTGGCCTTTTTGTCAAATTGTATCTTCATAAAATAATACAAGTCTAAATATTCTGACAGCGTCACGTATGACTTGTAATGTTAATTTATCTTCTGGGGTGGTGGTGTGGCCAAGTCTTGAAAGTGTTTGCTCGTTATGCCGAAGACCCGGGTTCTATTCCCCACATGGGTATAATGTGTGAAACCATTTGTTTTGTCTCACTCCTTGATATTGCTGGACTATTACTAAAAAGCGGCGTAAAACCTCATTCACTCACTGATTAATCTTTGGAAAAAAGTTCCGATTTTGTTCTGTACAAATCCCTTCGATAAGTTTATAATAATGTCCAACCTGCCAAGCTCCACACTAGGTATGCTCATAGCGCTAACAATCAAGGCACAGCACATATTTACCCGGATAGCCCAAGCTGCCTGTTCGGCGTTAGAGGTTATATTCACGCATGGCGTATCCCACCGGGTACCCATTTTCTGCTGGGTGAACAGAGGCAATTTTGAACAAACTCAATTGCCTAAAGGTTAGAACCACATGTATCACATGTGCTTTGTTGTGGGACAGGACTGAAGTCCTAGAAACTCTCAGGGGTCAAGCTGCCAAACACGGTCACCCATCCAAGAACGCTCCGTGCTTGACGTTGCTTAACTTCAACTGATATGTGACCTGAGCTCTGCGCACAGGACCACACACCACGTGAAACAAATCACCAACGTTGCCCGTGAAATTTCCCTATCATTTTGATTGTCCTTTTTAACATTAGTTTTTAAGATCGATAGATTCATAAATCAAGAAAAATAAGGAATAATGAATGCCAGATGTTGTAATTGTTTTGGTAGAAGTAAAGGCAGATGAGCTAGTTCATGACGCAATGTGACATCTGTTGACAGATGGCGCTGTGCCAGAGAATCAGTCAAAACATCTCCTACGTCGTCTCATGGAAGGTTACTCAGTTTCCACTGACAGAAGACAACAACGACGTTAAGCGCCATCTGTCGGACGACGAAGTATTAAGTCAGGCAGCTACCATGGTTGGTGGAGGTCTTGGCCCTACAAGTTCAGTTCTGTCGTTTGCGCTTCACCTTTTGGCTACCAACCCAGAAGCGCAGGAAAAGTTGACAGATGAAATAAATAAAGTTTCACAAAATGAGGGTATGGTAACTTCTTGGTTTCAGAATGTGTATACGACTGTTTTAACTTCAGCTATCAAAATCTATTTCACGACAGTAACGGTGTCATCGATTCTCAGTAGATCAAGTGAATATGGTTCACCTGTATGTGATTAAGAGCCCCGGCATAACTTACCCCTGATTTCCGAGGATGGTGTCTTTATCCATTGTTGATTTCAGCCGCTGGACTACGACGCACTTTCTCAGATGGAATATCTCGATATGGTTATAGAAGAAACAAGTCGGGTATTCCCTGTGATACCTGGGTAGGTACACTGAATATGTTACTTGCATACGCATACGCACACGCACACATGTTTACGGGAGATGTTTTTGTTCAAATGGTTTTGTTTGCCCTCAGCAATATTCCAGCTATGTGACCAGACAATCCAGTGATAAACAGTATCAGCATCTACACATAGGAACCGATGACATGTGTCAAGCCCGTCAGCGAGCCTGACCACCCGATCCCGTTAGTCGCCTCTTACGACGAGCATGGGTTACTGAAGACAGATTCATCAGTCTTGGTCCTGGTGTGGAACATTCGCTGATTACACCCATGTCCTTGGATCGATTCCCCACATGGGTACCAGGCTGGAGGGGTCAGGCTCGCTGACTTGGTTGACACATGTCATCGGTTCCCAATTGCGCAGAATCGATGCTCAATGCTGTTGATCACTGGATTATCTGATCAGACTTGATTATTTACAGACCACCGCCATATAGGTGGAATATTGCCGAGTGCGGCGTAAAATTAAACACACTCACTCACTTGAAGCAGCGTTAATCCCAGATGTAATATGACATGGTATGTCGCTGTGATATATTCTGGTGAAATGGCAGTTGACTATAAATACGTCTTCTCCGAGGGCAAGCGGACAGAGCATCTGCCGTATCATGCCGAAGATTACAATAAAAGACGGTACTTGTTGTTGCTTTCCATGGCGCCCGGTATGAAAGGGTTAAAACACCGACTAACGGTCTGTTTATTGGCGTGAAACTGCGGTTTGGTATCTCAGGGTGAGATACTATAAAAATAACCGCTATACTCTTGAATGAAGGACCGCTTCCGTGGTGTACCAAAAGTGGTTAGAGCGTCCGCCCGTCGAAGGACTCGCGGGTTCGATCCCCGGCCGCGTCATACCGAAGACGTTAAAACATGGCACTTGTTGGTCCCTGCCTCGCGCTGATGTGTTGCATTAATGGGTACAACAAGGACTTATTAAACCAGCTTGGTCAGCCACACTCGGAGTCAGTATAAAGTGTCTGAGTCTCACCTTGAATGAATAATTCGAGATTTACACAGTATCAGCAATATTGCATTCTCTTCAAAACGGTGCATATTTCACCACATCTACACAAAATATTTACAATATGGTTTTCTGTTTACAGCGTAGCACGCACTTGCACTGAAGATTGTGAAGTCGATGGAATTCCTTTCCGGAAAGGGATGAAGGTTAGAGTTATGGCAGTTGGCATGTACACTGACGAGACGCTCTTCCCGGAGCCGGAGAGATTCCTCCCAGAGATTCAGCAAAGAGAACAAGGAAAAGCGACCTCATTACAGTTATCTCCCCTTACGGGCACGGTCCGCGCATGTGCGTAGGCTTCAAGTTTGGCCTCGTTCTGATAAAGGTTGCTCTTGTCCAGATACTTCGTCACTACGCCCTCACAACATCCTCCAAAACACAGGTGAGTTCTGCTTCCTCTGTAAACAGTTCACACACTCTCTATACACCCGGGACCCGTGAAGATCCGGTATAATTGATCTTCAGCAACAAACCCATGCTTGTCGTAAGAGGCGACTAACGGGCTCGGGTGGTCAGGCTCGCTGACTTTGTTGACACATGTCATCGCATCTTAATTGCGTAGATCGATGCACATGTTGTTGATCACTAGATTGTCTGGTCCAGACTCGATTATTTACAGACCGCCGCCATATAACTGGGATATTGCTGAGTGCGGCGCTAAACAAGAAACCAACCAACCAACTATACAACCGGTTCTCTCTCTGCATGCAATTGGTCCACGTTCTGTTTTCAACCAGTAATAGTGTTGTAGTGATGAGTTTTAATCGCGACTGAGTTGTGATCAGACTGAGTGAGTGAGGCTTGACGCCCGTATCATTATACCAGTTAAATCACGACCCATCAGGCTTATGTAGGACAGAAGTCCGAAGAGATATAGATCCCAAGGCCTAGATTTTCGAAGCTCTCTTAGCTCTAAGATAGTCGTAAATTCATACATTAACATTAACTTACGACTATCTTAGCGCTAAGAGAGCTTCGAAAGTCTAGGCCCAGGTCCCCGATTCACAGGGCGTTCGTAACTACGTCATTTGTAACTTTGTGATGTAGTATTGAGTTACGATTGATCGTAACTTTACGAACGCTTTATGGATCGGGACAGCACGTATACGGTGTAGAGAGAGGTGATTCATAGCATTCTGGTGTTCCAAAGGGAGGTAATTATGGCGGAGCATAAAGACTGGGTCACCGATGCCCCACAAAATGACAACCTATAGTTGTGTTTGTCATATATCATACACATACAATATACGTTACACGGTCGCGCCCAGTAGGGCAACCTAGTTTTAGTATGAAGTAATTGGCCATACAATAATATCGACCAGGTTGAATCAGCGACCCGTTAATTAGTGACAAGACTGACAGTTGGAGAGTCTGTATACAGTTAAACCTCTTTAGTCCGAACCCGTAAACCCTTCATTGTAGAGGTTTGGTAACATCCTGACACAATCAAAGGGGCATTACTATGTTACTTTGTTGAACCTTGCTGATCATGTAGGGTTACATTGGATTAGGGGTCGGGTAAAGTAAAGTGATTGCACGTCCCGCCGAAGGCCAGGGTTCGATCCCCAAATGGGTGCAACGTGTGAAGCCCATTTCTTGAGTCACGCGCTTTGCTATTGATGGAATATTGCTAAAAGCGGCGTTAAACTATACTCACTCACCCACTGACGAAGGGACGGCGGTTGACTCACATCAGACAGATATAAAGGCAATTAAGAGCCCAAGATACGAGTTCAGTGAGTGAGTGAGTGAGTGAGTTTTCAGCTGCCTTCAGCTTTATTTGTGTTACGTCTCGGGTGAATTGTACAACATTTTAATTCAAACTGAATTTTTATCAACCTATAGCACTCCTTTCCAAACACGCAGGTTAGAAAAATATCATTTTGTTTGTTTCATGGACAAAGGCGTTACTGTCAAATAAGCAAAGTAGGCTTCAAATAAGGCTTTAAAGTAGGTCGTATGAACAACCTGAGAGAACAAGCTTCGTTGGAAATGTTGAGCCAGGATCATCCGTCACGCCGAAGACCGGGTTCGATTCCCCAAATGGGTACAATGTGAAGCCCATTTCTGGTGTCCCCGCCGTGATATTGCTGGAATATTGCTAAAAGTGGCGTAAAACTAAACTCAGTCAGTCAGTCATCGTCTTCGACCTTTCGAGTCGCGACGGTTTTTTGCGCATGCGCATTGTCCTTGATCTACATATATTTCTACGTTGTTGTCTAGTGCGTACATGCGTGACGTATTATAGCTGTTCTGACATTCCTTTGTTAACCCACTGCTGCAGAGATTCTCCCATATCATCACTATTTCGATAGTGATTCACAAACACATGCTCACAATGCAGCCGGATTTTGAAATAGACACTACTTTCTACAGAGGCCTCTCATGGACGTAGAATGGTTTTGCGGGTCTATTAATCTGCTGGAGCTATATGTTAGTCTTGGGTCAATAGCGTGATGCATACGTTTCTGACCTTCTCATCGCATGTAGTACAGGCGCTTTGCTAAATAGAACGTTGAATATATCTACGCTTCGAAGCGCAGTCCATAGTACTGTACTGTTTATGATTTAGATCTCTATAGACAGAACCTAGTTCAAAGGCTCTGGAAATGGTTTGTATTATCCTATGTATTTTCACATGAACAATTTTTTCATCCGCGTTGACAACACGTCTCTGTGTGAACAGTCAACACGTCTAGACGAACTGATATGTTGTAGAGGGTAATGTCGGTAGCTCTCTCCATTCCTTAAAAATAATGGAGCCGAGGCACATTATTTTTAAGGAATGGAGAGTTACGAGGATATTACCCCGCTTAAATTACATTCAAAGAACTGGGAATTTCTGTTATCAAAATTATATGTCAAAATAACAAAATGAAGGCTTTAATTTGAAACTGGTACACATCGCTCCATTCCCGAAAAGTAATGGAGCGAGCAAACAATGGAATGACGTCACAAATGTAATTTAAAGCTTTCTAACGTCTGAGACGTCTGAATGTAGTCCAGTGACTGAGTGAGTGAGTTTTACGCCACTTTTAGCAATATTGTAGCGTTAGGGGACACTATAAATGGGCTTCACACATTGTACCCATGTGGGGAATCGAACCCAAGTTCTTGGCGTGACGAGCGGACGCTTTAACCATTAGGCTACCCCCACGCCCCACGGTTATTTAGAGTTCATTAGGTTTTCAAGCGAGTTACGTCCCTTAGATGCACCAGAAACCTTTGACCATGGTCTCGTTACAACGTCTTGTTCTTGGTAGATATATACGAAGGGATAGTCATTTAGTATTGTTAAACTAACCTTGAATCTTTGTTGCCTGTTACAGATTCCACTGAAACCGCCCTGAGGCCTCTTGCTTAACCCCTCACGGATCTGTCCACATCGGCCTAGTTAAAGAGGAACACGTGAGGCAACTACTAAAAGACAATCGGGACCATGTGTTTTTGCAAATCTCGCGTGAAGTCGCCAAAATCTGTGATATGTAATGTGGGACCGCGCTTTCTTCTGTGACGTCATAACCCAGATGTGACGTCATCCATGGCTGACTGAGATGCCGAGTTTCAGCGTTATGTACAGCTATTGCTGTGGGAAGAATGATTTGAACAGCTTGATGGGGTGCACGTCACGTCCCCATAACGTGACAAGTGACAAGTGACGTCGTTTGGCTGTGATCTGAACGAGACTGAAGACTTAAACCATAACAAACTCATCAAAAACTCTTCCATTATGTCACGTGATCACCATCGTCATCATCATCATCATCATCATCATCATCTCATCACCACCAAGACATGTTCTCCAGTTCGATGTGTGTTCATGTATATATTGAAAACAAAATTTAAATCATGTCCAGTAATGAAATCCATTCGTCACCGTTGATAGACACATTCATCTTTTATAAAAAAGTATATTTAGCTTTATATATTTTCCGTGTTATCCGCTTAAAATGCAGCATATGACGAATTTATATTTATTGGGGGCGGTGGGGTAACCTAGTGGTTAAAGCATTCGCTCGTCACGTCGAACACTCGGGTTCAATTCCCTACATGGGTACAATGTGTGAAGCCCATTTCTGGTGTCCCCGCCGTGATATTGCTGGAATATTGTCAAAAGCGACATAAAACTAAACTCACTCACTTGGTTGTAAAGGCATTATATATAAATGTTATTAAAACTCCATATTCGTTTTAGTTTTTAAGAAAAGTACCAAAACGAAATGTGATGTTACTTTTGGTGTTAACACAGAATCTTTCATAACAGCCATGTATCACGAGAACATATCATGATGTAAATGTGGGAACGGTGTATACACGATACATGTAAAGGTCTTTGTTGCGACCTATAGTGTAATCTCACATTTCAGATGGAATAAAATGTTACGTATAACGGGTTATATCACTGTACTGTTATTTATTCATGTATTGGCGTTTTGGGACATTGATGCCAAAATCACTGGATTGTCTGGTCCAGACTCGAATAGCCGGAATAGTGCTGAGTGCGGCCCGCCCGCCCTCCCGCGCAATACACAATAATACACACACACACACACACGCTCACGCACTCCCTCATGATGCCCTGATTGGACTGGGCCTCGAGATCTCAGCTCCGGGGCCTACGTTTCAAGTACTCAAGGCTGTGTTAAGTGTCTTCGGAAGACATAAGTACGATTATGAATTTACGAATGTTTTGTATTTAATGCCTGCCATACGGTGATATGCAATACGAGAAACTAACACCGACACCACCAGCATATACTTTTACTGTACTTGCATCTTGTTCCAGGTGCATCCTGACCTTGAAGCGTTAACGCACAATAGCGACCCTGACCGTTACACACGGTTACACCAGAATGCTTTACGCATGGACAGTTTTGACGTGATTTGGTTGCATGTCAACAGTGTCCTCCGCCATTTAAGACTTGAGAACAAATACAAAAGTTGTGTTCTTCAGTTTCGCTTCGAGAGTCATGAATACATTTAGATGGGTGATGACGAAAACAGGTTTTGTGTTCAACGATTTATGGCATGTTTGTCCTGCAAACTCTGACGTCATACCAGGGCCTTTTACGACATTCTTAAGAATGTTAAAAAGGATAGCCATCTTTAATTTTGGCTGTTCATAATGTGGAGAGCCGCCATGCATAATAGCTTAACACGTGTTATCAGAAAGAATTTACATCGACATTCGATCCGTCCTGAATTGGGCTGCAGTCACTCTCAGTCAGTCAGTCACTCACTCACTCACTCACTCACTCACTCTTCATTCACTCAGTCACTCACTCACTCTTCACTCACTATTCACTCAGTATTCGCTCACTCACAAAAATAAATAAATAAATAAATAAACCAATGTGTGGTGTTTTGCTTGGAACACAATCCCAAAACACCAGGTGTGTACTTTCTTTTCCCATTCATATCTACAATTTATGTAGTTAATATGTCAAAGTGTGAAATATCTGTTAAAGTAAGTTCGGCCTAACTAAATTCTCAGTGGTATTGAGAGATAGGAAACGTAGAAAAAGGACTTTACTGAGGAGAGATTAGTGCAGAAATGAGCCATGCAGTTTTTTTCTAAGTCGAAAGCGACTTATTTGGAACAGACCATGGCTTTATGCAAATTAGTGTGCGATGATATTGTATTACAAAGAGAAACTTTTTAAATGCCCATTTTGAAATTAAAATTAGCTTCATTATAAACAATAGCTGACGTAAAAAATAATAAGTTTAAGACTGAAACTATAAAGGATGTAGCTACCTGGAGTCTCACTATCACTATAAATAGAAAAAAGGTAGGAGGGGTCGTCTCATAAGCAAAACCAGGAGGGGTGTCGCAGACGGTGGTAGGGTTCAGTCTGGCTAGGGATAGAGATATCCGCTAAGATGTGATAATCCTTTAGGGGAATGAAACTGTGGAGGTAAACGGCATGTCATAACAATTTACAAAAATATCCAGTCCTGTCTATCTTCGGGTGGTCATGTGACCTGTATATTTTTTTACATTTAATACCAAGGCAAATTGAAGCTTTTTGTGAATATCATGCTCTTTTCCATATCTCAACATAAACTTTATGAAAGAAAGACACGTAAGATGTTAATGAATAGATGAGACATATACAGCGCACACGAAAAGCATAAAACATCTTTGAGATGACCCCTTGTGCCTGTATGCAGCATGCATTTCATGCCAGGTGAGTCGACGGTCCGTCGTTACCCACTCACTCACTCATGTGGACTTCATAGCAATATGTTCTTTGTTGCCAGTTTCCCAAGCAGCAGCACAAACATTATACCTTCATGACATATTAAAAGCGAAATAGTTGTTAAATGTAACCACATTAAAGTTTATACTTATCAATGTCGATTGATTTAGATACATAAACAAATTATGCTACATAAATAATGGGGGATTATTTAATATATTTATTAAGCGTACGGATGATTAGGTGCCTTTGTTCTGGCCTTCATTTAAAACATCATGTGCGCTCACGGAATTCTGACACAACCTTGACATGACTGTCTGGTTATGGGAACAAGGTGATTGCCCTTGGGCTTGAATGAGGCAGTTTGTAAATCGGTGACGTGGTAACGTCGGGGTTATGTTTCAGTCTGACACCAAGTACCTCTCAGAAGAAATACCTAATGTCACTAAATACCCATTTACACGCGGCGACTTTGTCGTATGAGTCATGTCGATCCTAAGAGACTTGTCTGGGAAGGTAACGGGTTATTTCACCCCAAACACGTTCACGCCAGTTTCACCCCAGGCTGCTTCACCCGGGTTCTTTAACCCCACGCAGTTTCACCCCAGGCTGCTTCACCCGCGTTCTTTAACCCCACGCAGTTTCACCCCAGGCCGCTTCACCCGGGTTCTTTAACCCCACGCAGTTTCACCCCAGGCTGCTTCACCCGGGTTCTTTAACCCCACGCAGTTTCACCCCAGGCTGCTTCACCCGCGTTCTTTAACCCCACGCAGTTTCACCCCAGGCTGCTTCACCCGCGTTCTTTAACCCCACGCAGTTTCACCCCAGGCTGCTTCACCCGCGTTCTTTAACCCCACGCAGTTTCACCCCAGGCTGCTTCACCCGGGTTCTTTAACCCCACGCAGTTTCACCCCAGGCCGTTTCACCCCAGGTAGAGGTTGTGTCACCCAAGCAAATAATAATTATTATTATTATCATTTTTAAAATTGTTTATGCATATATGCTTAGTGTAGAAACATCATTGAGATTGTTTGAATAATTGTATCAGTTCATATGTACATGCCAGTACATGCTTGAAGATCAATTGGCTGTGTTGGATCGGGTGAAGGCCCTCAGTGACGATAGCAAGTAGCTGCCTTGGACAGGGATGACCTTGTGGAGACTTCCTTGTCTGTGTACTGTATCCAGAGGTGAAGAAGCTTCTCGTGGATCTTCTTGAAATTTCATGTTCACAGACAAAGTTATTTATTCTTTAACCTGTGCTGTGCCGTCTCCATCCGTTCTCGAACACCTGGCTGTCCCTTTCTCTGCACTCCTCCCTCGTAACAAATAGTGAACTGTGTCAATATTTTAATGATAGTTTGTTAAACAACTTTTTATATTTTTAGGACAAAAATGCTTCGAAAACCTCACAGAGTGGGTATGATGTTTTGATTATGATCAGCGTTTCATTGAGTATTTTATGTTTATTAGTTTTCGAGTTAGATTGCAATTCATCGGTCCGCTTTTGAGCCAAACGGACTATAGTAGAACAAATATAAAAGCTGATGACAAAGATCTCATACGAGAATGTTTATGTATGTACAAGTTAACGGCAAACCGCATTTAAATGTATGCGCTTGCCATACACGTGCGTAGGGCGTCAGTCCTTAATTCGACACTTTCAAATAAGATCGATTTATTTCTTTGGATCATTATTTCTGTTTTCTTGATTCTAAAAACAAGAATCTATGGATGTCTATATTTTGATGGACACGACGTTTCGGAGTATCTTCGGTGAATGAAAGACAAGGAAGCAGACAGCTATATCAGTACATGTGACACAACACCAGTGATCAGATAACAAGGTAGTCAATAGGCTCTAAATTGATAAAGTGGGTGGATAAGTGGAAGCCGGGGATTGTTAATCCAGACTTGAATGATGAGATAACAATGGTGGCATTTAATAAGGGCAAAGAAATAATCAGATGAAAGCTATTGCTCAACAAGGTAAGGTTGAAGATCTTGCAACGTCTGTGGTGGATTGACTTGCTGGCGAACACGTCGACCCAGCTCGTCACGGGGCTACGCGTCGGCCAATCCAGAACTTGAATATCGGCAGTTCGCAGAACATTCTGTATAAGAATTGCCGTATGCGGTCTAGCGTTGTCTTGTTTGAACGTCAGTGCAGGGCCATGTCTCTGTATAAATGGAAGCAGGACATGTAAAATCTGATCTCAGTACTGGGCAGCATTTACGTTCCTTTGGACGACATCAAGGGGAGAACGTCTGTGTGCGCAAAACGAACCCCATACGATAACGCTTTCGCCACCAAATCTGTCCACTTCACGGACGCAGACTTGAGCGTGACGTTCACATTGTGACTGCGACACTCCGACCCTTCCGTCGGCAAATCTAAATGTGAATCGAGATTCGTCACTGAAGACAACCGAATTTCCACTGTCTTTGATTGAACCTTAAATGTGTCTTTTACCCACACCAGTCGGTTGCGGCGATGAAGAGGCGTTATAATTGGTCCACTATGGGAGTGAGTGAGTTTAGTTTTACGCCGCACTCAGCAAAATTCCAGCTGTATGGCGGCGGGCACTAAATAGCGGGCGGTGGGGTAGCCTAATGGCTTAAGCGTCCGCTCGTCACGCCGAACACCCGGGTTCGATTCCCCCACATGGGTACAATATGTGAAGCCCATTTCTGGTGTCCACCGCCGTGATGTTGCTGGAATATTGCTATAAGCGGCGTAAAACTATACTCACTCACTTGTAGAAGTGAACAAATCTGTTTCAAAGATGACGTAATCGTGAAAAATTGCTTGATCTTCCCAGAGTGACGTCACACGTGACGCTCCTGGCCTCGGGCGGTCGGGAACAGTTCCCGTTTGATGCACTCTCATCCTAAGATTAAAAGTTGTTTGTCGTGAACAATTAAAAACAAGAAAGTCAGCAGCGACCACAGACTGACCAGCATCAAGCCTCCTCAGCACGTTGACGTTCTTGATTTGAAAGGCGTGGTATTTCCAACAAAGATTAAAATGAAAAGTTTAGTTTGTTTTTACAAATCACATTCAATGTGCGTGTTCAGTTGAAGCAAAGATGCACCGAATGACCCCATGAATTTACTTTTCACACGTGCATTTCGTGTTTTCGGCTACAAAGTCAAGAATTGCACGTGTACTTACAATTTCACGAAATTAAATT